TGCGATGCTCCAGTTTCTGGGGGGTTAACATCTGAGATTAGAGAGGAGAGCATCCTCCATGATGCAGCAGAGTTAGAACCTGTCACGTTCCACCTCCTGCAGTCTGAGCTCAGATTCAGTCTTTAAGGTGGATTTAAGGTGGACGTTGATGAATATAATCTCCGTGTCCACTACCGTCCATCCGAACCCTGCAGATGTTGATGCGTCTCGGACGACTCGTAGGAGCAACAGCTCAGGATGCAGCTGGTCAGTGCAGAGAGGCGAGAAAAGACAGAAGCAGGGAGAGGAAGTTGGAACCAGCAGAGTGCTGGTCCGCGGAGCTGCTTGATCCACCTGCTAATGAGGTTTCAGGGCTAATTAGGAACAAACTAGTACTTATTCAGTTTGTCAGTTGATCAAATGTTGCTCAGTGTTTATTTACCAATTAAAGGCTGGAATAGCTTTCATGTTCTGCTTTGGTTTGATTCTGGCTCAGTTCTGTTAAACGAAGTGCGTCCATGTTGTGGAAGCAGCGTTTACTGAGGGCGGAGAGCTGCAGCTGGACGTGTATCGTCTGTTTCTGAGAGTCAAACTGAATCAAACCCACCTTCTGTCCTCCATCACAGCGAACGCTCGCCGGCCGAACCGCAAAGGGCTGAGAAACGACCGGGACAAGCCTCTGCCTCCGCTGCTGGCCCGAGTCGGAGGAAACATCGAGGTACGAGCTGCTGCTGCTCCGTTTCTCTCTGACATGAGCAGAAACTCAGGAATAAAAACATATGGATGTCAACAGGAAGTGAGTTGAGATTCGTGTTTTATGTGAATTCGGGCAGGTTTTGGGCTTTAACGCCCGGCAGAGGAAGGCCTTCCTGAACGCAGTGATGCGCTATGGGATGCCTCCTCAGGACGCCTTCACCAACCAGTGGCTGGTCAGAGACCTGAGAGGGAAATCTGAGAAAGAATTCAAGTGAGTGTGTTTGAAGTTCTCAGTCTGGTTCACTTATTCTTTGATCTTGATTCTTATTTCACCCTGAACACTAAAATCAGCTTGAAACGCAAGTTATCTTTAACGATGCACCAAAATGACAGAAACCAGAAAGAATGGAGTCTAAAAGTGGACTCTTCTTCTCGTCCTGCCCCCTGCAGGGCCTACGTATCTCTGTTCATGCGGCACCTCTGTGAACCTGGAGCTGACGGAGCTGAAACCTTCGCCGACGGCGTCCCGCGAGAAGGTCTGTCCAGGCAGCACGTGCTCACTCGCATCGGCGTCATGTCGCTGATACGGAAAAAGGTACGCAGACGGGAGTTTGGTGTTTGTATCGAGCAGCAGAAATAGTTGCATCCTGATGTGTTTGAGGTAAATTTCTCTTCAGCTCTCAGTGAAACAGGAAATGTTGCAGCTCTGGTTTAGAGTTGTCCATGTTCCAGCAGTGATTCTGACTCGACTCGTTCACCTGCTGCAGGTCCAGGAGTTCGAACATGTGAACGGTCAGTGGTCCATGCCCTGGATGGCAGAACTGGAGGAGAACAAGAGAGCTGCAGCTCTGGCTGCAGGTGAAGACCCAAAGACCCCGTCCACCGGCACACCTGCAGACACTCAGCCCAACACACCTGTACCAGGTAACACGACACACACACCTGTACCAGGTAACACGAC